AACTGAAAGAGTCCTACACACACACTTATGGGGACCAACTGCAGGAATCTGAAGCAGTCCTGCACACACTCGACATTAATACATACAAGAATAAAACATCTGTTGTGGGGACCAACTGAAAGAGTCCTACACACACACAGTTATGGGGACCAACTGCAGGAATCTGAAGCAGTCCTGCACACACTCCACATTAATACATACAAGAATAAAACATCAGTTGTGGGGACCAACCGATAGAGGGCAAAGAGGCCCAGCATACACCAAGATGTAATAGGATTGTAAGACGCAAGCTGATCTCCAATAATACATCAGTTTGGGGGACAAGTGAAAGTAAAGATAGCATAGATTGTAAGACAAAATGTGAGAAAAATTTAGGCTAGAAAGTACACCAATAGCTAGTGTTACGTAGGCTAGATAAGTAATGCTCACAGACACACAAACAACCTCTCTAGTGAGAGTGTTAGAATGGGTTCTCCCTGTGTTACCTTCTCTCAAACTATGATGCAGTAAAAGTAGCATGTAATTCAAATTAGCAGCTAAGTATCTAGTTAGCAATAGCTACCTACATTTCTAAGAGCTAGGTTACAGTAAGCAGTACAGAAGCCATTTTAACAAACTCAACATAAGGTGTAAGCACCAGTGCTGTAACTGTAGCCCTAGCCTTTGATGCAGACTTGTTATCAAGGCAATAGTTCCAGGTTTATCCCCGTTTTAAGCCTAACTCAGTCCAGTATAAGCAACTCCATAGATTAATCTTAAGTGATTGACTGCTAAATAAGTGAATAATAGAGATGTGATTCTGTGCTAATCTCAGAGGGAAACCTGTTAGGGGTTAGTGAACACAAATTGAATAAAAAGCAAAAACAATAAGGAAATTAATGGCTGTCAAACATGTCAAAAATTTAATTAAATCATTACAAATTAATGTGTCAAATGAATGCCAAATTCTGCTTCACAATACGATTCCCAGAACAGGTAAGGAGTGATTATGTTACCTGAGTGGCAGGAGTTGGACATTCGCTGGTAGAAGGCACATTTTCAAGGCTGCAAGTAGCATCATCACCCTTGAAAAGAAAAGACAAGTGCATTAAGTTTTAACATGTACCTCATAAACAGACTGTCGGCCATTACCACCTTCTAAACACTTTAACCTTGCACCTAGATATGCATCTTTTTTTAGTTTTTCCAAGTTAACCTGAGGTTTGAGGGGGGGGGGGGGGGGGCAATCCGTGAAGACCCCACACTCCCCTGACTTCAATATGATAATTAAAAGCATGTTTAAGAAAATAAAGCATTAGTTGTGGGGGCTAAGTGAAATAATTCTTTGAAACACTACACACATACACACTCAACTTAAATATGACAATTCATAACAAGCTGAAGTAGGAGACCAACTGAAAGAGTCCTACACACACACTTATGGGGACCAACTGCAGGAATCTGAAGCAGTCCTGCACACACTCGACATTAATACATACAAGAATAAAACATCTGTTGTGGGGACCAACTGAAAGAGTCCTACACACACAGTTATGGGGACCAACTGCAGGAATCTGAAGCAGTCCTGCACACACTCCACATTAATACATACAAGAATAAAACATCAGTTGTGGGGACCAACCGATAGAGGTCAAAGAGGCCCAGCATACACCAAGATGTAATAGGATTGTAAGACGCAAGCTGATCTCCAATAAAACATCAGTTTATGGACTCACTGAAAGTCCTACACACACACACAGAGTGGGGACCAACTGAAGTAATCTGAAACAGTCCTGCACACACTCGACATTAATACAACAGAAGTAAACTGAGGTAGGATAGAACATCAGTTGTGAGGATCATCTGATAAAGGTCAAAAAGGCCCAGCATACACTTAGCTTTAAAAGGACCGTAAGACACAAGCTGATCTCCAAGAAAGCATCGGTTTGGGGACAAGTGAAAGCAAAGATAGCATAGAATGTAAGACAAAATGTAAGAAAATTTAGGCTAAACAACCTCTCTAGTGAGAGTGTTAGAATGGGTTCTCCCTGTGTTACCTTCTCTCTCTCTCCAACTATGATGCAGTAAAAGTAGCATGTAATTCAAATTAGCAGCTAAGTATCTAGTTAGCAATAGCAACCTACAGCTCTAAGAGCTAGGGTACAGTAAGCAGAACAAAAACCATAGCAACTAACTCAACATAAGGTGTAAGCACCAGCGCTGTAACTGTGGCCCTAGCCTCTAATGTATGCTTGTAGTTAGGAAATAGTTCCACATTTGGCCACATTGAAACCTAACCCAGTCCTGTGTAAAAGCCTCCCTAGATTAAGCTTCAGTGAGTATTAGCCACATAAGTGGCTAAGACTGATAGGCCAAAATATATTTTCTGTAGGTGATACAGTAGGAAAGAACCTTATGTTACTGATCTTTAAAATGTGTGAAGTGACTGGAAAGATTCAGGTGTTGTGGCCCTATCAGCATTGTCAGGGCACTGCATTGGTATAAGCAATAATTAAGAATGCATACCTTCTCCTGCACTTTTGAATTGGCTCCTCCCTCAGGTTTCATTGAGGTGCTTGCTTGCAAGTTGCACTTCTTGGAAGACTGTGGGAAGGCAGCATAAAACAAGATTTAACCGTAGAACTCATTTTATTCATTCATTCTTAGTCATTTTCTTATATACTCCCTTTTTTTGATGCTGCCTTTTACAAACTAATTGCAGCAATGTTACTGTAGCTCTCACAACTAGGAAAAAAAAAAAAAGTCTTTTTGTACGCATTATGCACTTTTGTGTTGTAAATTCTAAGGGTGAGGCCTCTGAATTCAGAATATATTGGGGAGTAATATTTAAATTACATTCATTTTCAGGCTCATATTATCATCAGCTGCTCATTCTTAAAGCAACACAATGCAACATTTGCATGTTTTGTAAATCTCGTGAGCCCTGTAGTAAATGGATTTCTTGCACAAATTTGTGCTGGTTTTGATATTTATTTGATAAATGAAGAGCTTTATGTCCTATATTTTTTTCTGACTGAGTCGCTTTCTCAGATGTACTGTATAGTATTTGTAAGCAAAAAACTGCATCGCTTTTTCACGTGGTCTGTTTTTTCACAGGTCTAAAGCACTGCTTGTATGCATGTTCAATAACTGCCCTTGTATGGAGTCAAACTGCAACAATTACACTGTTATCTAGGATCAGAAATCATTGTAAGCCATTATTATAACTAATAAGGTTATTATTTTAAACAGAAATTGTTAATGCTGCTAAATCTCACCTCATTTCTCCAAGGCCAGTCTGTCCCACCATAATCATAAGTGATCTCTTCTCCTTGGCCGATGTCACGGAGGGCAAACAAACAGAGATGTGGTTTACCATCAGCCTCAATTAACTTCATGCGGCAATTAGGAGTCTTATGGTCATCATTCACCAATCTCCCAAGAGTGTTGTCTTCTAATGTTGCATCAATGCTGGAAAATGCCTTAAAATTAACAAGAGCACTGCAAAATACAGATTTTTTTTTGAAGGAACACTCAATTTTTTGGGGAAATAAACTCTAAGGGAGTTAGAAAATGAGCCTAACAGTTGAGTTTTACTGTTTTTTATCCATTCAGCCAATCTCCGGATCTGGCAGGAAGACCTCTTGAACTGCCAGTTTGACTTTAGCCAGAGAGTGTTGAGGCAAGATCTTTGCTTTAGCTATTATCTAGTAGCATGCTAACTGGTCTAACCCAGCTACTGCCAGACCTGGAGATTGGTTGAATGAATTACAACATGGTGAAACTCAACTGTTTAACTCTAAAGGATTTGGAAAGTGAGCCTTTTTGAGTGTTCCTTTCATCATAGAAATTGCTGAAAACCTACCACCACCATTTGCGTTTCCATTTAAAGTCAAACATAAAGGCACAGTCTTTATGGTAAATTCTTCGCCTGTGCTCAGCTTCTGCTGCATCAATGACCACTCCTCTGTATTCTACCACAAACTCACCCTGCTGGAATGGTGCTAAGGTAAAGACACCACGGCCTGAAAAACAGAATGTGGGTCAGAAATTTACAAAATGCTACATCAGCATATATGAGTATATAAACTCCCACATAGCACTGCTAGCACAGGCTACACACTCATAGCAAGAGAATAAACATGTTACAATCTTTAAAAAAAAAATTCATTACTTAAAGTAGGGCTTTCAGACTGGAACCCCAGTATGCTTGTATTGTGTGAATGGGTGGGGGAATACAACAGTTCAGTGGTTAAACTACAGTTACATGAAATTAACTTTCTCACCTACCTGCCAATGCCATGTAAGATGTGCATACTTACCGACCAAAATATATTTTTACTGACAAATATGTTTTATGTACTTTTTTTTAAAATGACAATTTATCAGTGCACATTAGAAATAATTGCAAATCTTAAAGGAATACGCCACCCCTAGGGGAAATTTTGTCTGTCCCTGCAGTCCCTAGAGTTGGAAAAGAAAGCAAAAGCATTTTCCAACAGACCCAGCTGTGTGGTGTCTTTGCACCTTTCAGCGCTGCTTTACCTGTCCTTTGCCTGTGCTTCCGCAGAATATAGTCCCCCATCTAAATGCCACTTGGTCAATTTCTTCCTGTTAATTTGCATTGTCATTTGTACTCAATCTGAATGCACAGGTTGCGCTCACTTTATTCTGCAAGCTAAATAACTCAACAAAACCAGTTCAGAAGTACTTGCACAAATAAATTACTGTAGTCTGTTAACTTGAATATGACACCGTCTGCTTTCAGAAAGTTTGTTTAAAAAAATAGTGCCTGTGGAGTCATACGTAGATAACAAGACACAACAGAGCATCGTGTATAGCGTTCGGAGCTGTTACCAAACATTTCTATGTTTTCCTGCTGTTTCCAGTTCAACAGATAACATACCTTTTTGAGGACTGATGTATTTCACGTCCAGCATTTGAGTCTTGTCCCTGGCATTGGCTGCATGATCACATGCATCATGCATGGGATTGAGTCGATGTCGTCGCATGTTAGTCTGTAAATGCAAACATGAATATAAACGATTTTTTGTATCATGCCAGTTAAGCACCACGTTTGTAAATGCTAGCTCATTATGCTAGGTTGCTCATGTGTAGGGTTGCCAACTCCCTGAAAAATAAGTAAGTTACACCTCATTGGCAGGGCCAGTGTCCTGTCGATTTGAGCTACATAGCGCTACTTACTACACATGCGCACCCACCCAAGCGCTGTTCTAGTTTAAATGCTGTCAAGTTGAGCTCCCAAGGCAGAAGTGGAGTAACAAGTCACATTTTAAAAGTCTTTTGGTTTTGTTGTATGTTTTGATCAGTTACATGTGTAAGCATGGACATGTGCATGTTAGATTTGTGGCAGAATACCTACGTTAGGCTGCCGATAGCTCATTTCGCCGGGGCAGCCCATTTCGACAGAACACTGTAAAGCACTGTCAGTGCCACGCTGCTTTTTGTTGCAGAGGGGAACTCTCAGGGTCTTCAAGGTTTTCAGTGAAGGCCCAAGAAAAAAATATTGAAATATTTTTTTTACTACTAATATATTTTTTCAATATATTATATTCAGTGAGTAATAAACATGAAACTAGTAATAATTTCTAGATCATGGTTATAAACTTGGACTAATATTTCTTGGGAAACAAAGGGTTAATGTAAGGGGATGGAAATGGACCAATCACAATTTTTCTTCCAATGGTATCTGGGTAAATCAGTGACTATTTGGACGCCTCGGGGGCGTCTGAAAGAAAAAAGAAAGACTCGAGTCCCGCGGGATTCGGAGCTCGGCCCGGCCGCGGGACTCGCGGGGCTCGGAGCTCGGCCCGGCCGCGGGGACTCGCGGGGCTCGGAGCTCGGCCCGGCCGCGGGACTCGCGGGGCTCGGAGCTCGGCCCGGCCGCGGGACTCGCGGGGCTCGGCTCGGCCGCGGGGCTCGCGGGGCTCCGCTCGGCCGTGAGGCTCGGAGCTCACGGGGCTCCACCGGAACTCGGAGCTACAACAAGCCGTCTTTGCACACGAGCTACCTAGCATAATGCGCTAGCAACTACAAACGTGGTGCTACTTTAGTTAGGAATTCCTACTTACAACCAGTATTACACGAGGCTAAGTCTTAGTTAAAAACAAAGGCAATATGTAGTAAAATTTCCCTTTTGTAAAACCTGCTACAAAATGATGCAGTGCTTACTTATGACCCTGAACATTAACACTTACAAGCATGCATTCTTATTGAACAAACTAACGTTAACATTTACTCATAACATAATGATACTTACCTTTAATCCGTGAAGTTGGTCGACGCTGTCTCAGGTGCATGCAGACATCAAAGTTCCCAACATGGCGGCTGTACTTCCGGAAAATCTCTACTAATTTGCATGTTTTGTTTTCTTGGATCTGATTGGTCGATGTCTCGGATGTGTGTGTGTGTAAGAGAGACATGCAGTTACACTGGTTGGCCATAGGTGGCGATACTGAGCACCTCCAAAATACACACATAACACACTTTTTCGAAATTTCATGACTTTTAGGACAACCTAAATTTTTGTATTGAGACAGTTTATAATGGGGTCCTAGGCTCATCTATAGCAAAAACATGATGGGGACCGAGTGTGTGTCCCCACCTGTCAAACGGTCCCCACCGCGTGAGTCCTTTCTCCGGTCAAAGTCCCCACTTTGTGATAAAGGCAAGTACACACACACACACACACACACACACACACACACACACACACACACACACACACACACACACACACACACACACACACACACACACACACACACACACACACACACACACACACACACACACACACACACACACACACACACACACACACACACACACACACACACACACACACACACACACACACCACACACACACACACACACACACACACACACACACACACACACACACACACACACACACACACACACACACACACACACACACACACACACACACACACACACACACACACACACACACACACACACACACACACACACACACACACACACACACACACACACACACACACACACACACACACACACACACACACACACACACACACAAACACACACACACACACACACACACACACACACACAAACACACACACAAACACACACACACAAACACTACAGGTCGACACGTCTGAAACCTCTTTGTGTTTAAGATCTTATAAAAAACACATTTGTTCAAACGTGACACACACACACAAACACACATACACACACACACACATACACACACACACACACACAAACACACTCACACACACACACACTCACACAAACACAGTCACACACAATCAGTCACACACAAACACACTCACCCCGACACACGGATAATCCTCGTTTTGTTCTGTCACAAAGGAGAGATCTGCTGACATCACGCCTTTCTCTCCTCTTCCTCCTTCATCCTGTTTTCATCTCTTCCTCTCTCCTCTTTCAGTCTGTCTCTACCTTCTCCTCATCCCTCTATACCTCCACTCTCTCTCTCTCT